TATTCAGCATAGCTAAAAACAACACTATCGTATAGCTACCTTAACGTACACCACGTTTATTATTTAAAAAACCCCGCACATTTCTGCCTATAAAAAGCGTTATAAATCTATGCGAATTACAAATTTAATGATTCAGATTCGGGTTGAATCTTCAAATTAGGTCTCTCTTCATACCCTTCGCATCATCAAAACCACCCAATTACGCACATAAATTACAAAACCGAAACTATTTTATGCGTGTTCCAGGAATCGGTCGTAACTTCCAAGTATATCATACGTATAGCTACATTATATATAGAGCTCTGAAATCTGAATATTTTTTTCCCAATAGCATATCCGCCATCACTTTCAAATGGTCAATGCACACTGTCACTAATCTCTGATAATTCCTGACCTGCATATGTTCACGCACTTGATTGTTTCACAGTTTGGATATAGCTATCTAAATGTTTTGCATTGAAATATAGTATAATCATGTCGACCAATAGAAACCGCAGACCGCAAGAGAAAATACACGATCGCGGTTTCCGTTCGCTTCCGAGCGGAATGTTATGAACAGCTGAGAACGACCTGAGGTTTGACCCAGGTTAACCGCGGTTTTTGTTAAGTTATTTCTGGACAGTACTGTATATCGTTCTATTTAAACTAGGACACGACGACGACGTTGGATTAATATGTACCGGGCCAAACTTTAAGTTGGAAACAAGTAATCTATCGAGAAGCATATTCCATTTTGCCGGCAAAGAAAGATCGTGTTTAATCAATGTTAGAATACATGTTCTAAAAGAAGATCGGTTTCTGGAAGAAAATTCTTCACTACGCAAGTTTACCAGTTTCAAAGCAATTGTTTGTGATGGCGAGTGTCCTTATCTCAAAAATGCTGACATATCAGGTTTCGCTTTGGCTATCGAAATCCGTACCTACGGTATAGATATTTTGTTAGGCGATATAAAGATCACAGACTGTCTCTATGGTGTTGTGGCAACGAACAATAAAATAAACAGCTCTGTGAAAAATGACCTCAAATATAACAAAGACATGGAAATACTTCGCTTTAGAAACTTTACGGTTATCAATTCTACCGCAGGCGTGTTGCTTATTGATTATTCTTCCTTTAATATTGAGTTAGAGGAATTTACGATCACAGGCTGCCATACCGGGGTGGAAATTTTGCAAACAATCTTCACGAGATTTAAGTTGTCAAAATTGAGGCTCCAAAATGGCGTCAATGCCATCAGGTTACGAAGACACCCAGGGCGCTTTGAGCTGGTCGATCTTTGTGATAGCAGCAACAGCGTTTACAACGAATCATTTCCTGTCGAAATCACTTATTACAGTGGTCACAGCAACCCTTGTTCCATGGTGAGTTAATACATTTTGTACTTATTAAGGCAACTAAATTGCAACTAGGGTAAACGCGTACGGGCCAGTTGAAGGTGCCTGAAACTTGTTATTGAGATTATCAAGAAAGTAAGCCTTGTCTGACATTTGTTTTGTTAATTCATTATACCATATATCTCGGTCAAAAGTAGTTGGACGAAAAAAACACGGGAATCAACTTTAGGGAAAAAAATTAATGGAGAAAAATCTTTTATCACGTTTTAGGTGTTCGCAACCTCTCCAGACCAGGTTCTGTCAGCTTTTGTTTCAGATCTTTCAAATGTCAAGTTGCGGATTCGCGATAGCAATTCATCTGAACTACTGTTTGAGCTATCCAGAGATGATCTGTCGCAACAATACATCGTTGAATTGAAAAGTAGTGCTGTTATTGTTGAGATCGAATTTGAAATATATTGGTATTCGAGTAATCTCAAGATGTTTCTATTGAGTCGACCAGGTAAGATACGAATCTTGCTTATATTGATAGTCTATACTCTAGGCCTAGGCACTACGACCGCATTTATTTCATTCATTGTCATGAGACACAGACGAATTATTTGAATTGGTTTGGAATAAAAGGCTTTAATTGCTAAAAGGCAATTACCAATATATCTAGATGTAAAAATAATATGAAGATTTGAAAAACATCATCCAGGTAATATAATAAATACTACAATTGAACTCGAACTTGAATGGTTGTATACGAGAAAGTTAAAGATGTTTCTTGTAAGTCGACCAGGTAAGATATGAATCGTGCTCATGCATATTCATGAGTTATATCACTAATATAGGAGCTTGTATTCCGGCCGAATTGCATAGAGAAAAAAAATCTATAAGACGAAAAACACTATCTTTTTAATTTAATATAAAGACAACAACTTTATACTGCGTGTATTACACCTGCAATTAACAGCGTTCATTACCAGGGGCCGGTTGAATAAAAAGGTAGTTAACTTTTAATATAGTCTAACTATAGTGGCAGAATTGGCCAATCAGAATAATGTATTTTCTAGTTAACTACCATTTAACTACTTAACTGAATGTAGTTAAGATTTTTATACAACCGGCCCCAGAAATCTGCGACATAATGATTAACATTAATTTAAATTATAATGATTAACATTAATTTATACTAATTTAATTGCATAATGCCCTCAACGTTTACCACGAAATACATATAGTAAAAGGGGCAAAACGTAAGATCGCCATTGCCCTGGACTTTGCCTAAAGTTTGCCGACCTTTGGATCAAATCAACAGCCGTTTCGCAACATTTTTTTAGTGTTCGAATCATACTTACCGTGTTTCTAAGTTCAGCAAACTGATTCTGTTCAAATGTGCAGGAAAATTTTTATCAGGAATACAAAAGACAATATCTGAACAACAATTTTTATTAGCTATAACTATATTAAACGGCATTTCATCAACTATAACCGAATCGAAATGTTCGCATATGAATAATCAAATGTGAGCGATTTTATAAGTTCGTTTATTGAGAGAACACGGCCAAAATTTTAAAAATATACTTTTGAAAAATTCTGTTAAAAAAGTAGTGTATTTTTCAAATTGTAGGTTACTTTTCCATTACCAGAAATTTGCGACATGATAATTTGCATTTATACTAATTTGCATTTAACTTTCAGCATAATGGCCTTCAACTTTTACTATTAAATACATATAGTAAATATACAAAACCTTAAAATGTCGTTGCCCTAGACCTTGCCCACTGTTTGCCGACCTCTGGGTCAATAGAACAGCCGTTTCCCAACGTTTTAATGATCGAATTACTTACCTTAGGTATTTCTACGTTCGGCCAACTGATTGTGAACAAATGTGTATATAGCCTTCGTATTGTTCAAGTTCATGATAAGACTGATAATATTTTTTAAAGTGATTGCAGTGAAAATCCGAGCCGTACAGAAAAGTTTATACACAAATACGAAAGACAATATCTTTAACAACTTTTTTTGGTATATTACACGTCAATTCATCAACTACCTGAATCGAAATATTCGAATCAATGTGAGCGATTTTATAAGTTCGTTGACAGAACACGGACAAAACTTTGAGCAATATATTTTTAAATTTGGCAGATTACAGAAATGCCCAAGCAAAAAAATTCGGCCACCAAAACGTTTCTAAACAGCTGCTCGACCGATCTAGAGGTCGGCAAACAGTAGGCAAGGTCTAGGTCAACGGCATTTTTAAGTTTTGTATATTGACTATATCTATTTTATAGTAAATGTTGAAGGCCATTATGCTGAAAGTTAAATGCAAATTAGTATACATGCAAATTATCATGTCGCAAATTTCTGGTAATGCGGAAGAATTTGCTGTGAATCAGACACTTGTCTTATAAATAATTACATAATTTATTGCATATCCGCTTGAAAACTGTCATCTTGAAAACATTTGCGTGCGCTATATTATATGCGTTATATTTCTAGTGAAAAGATATAGGTGTGCCACATTTCATCGGATGTTACTTTTTTACCACTCCCGCAGAATCCCGCGGTATATGCATGTCTGCCCGGGTACATTGTGATCGAGTTTCTACGCTAGGGGCGTTTGCAGCCTTTAAAACAATTCATGCCGTATTTGTTTCTTTAACAGAACAAAATCCCGCTATTTTACTGAGAAAATTCTCCGTTTCTCCATATAATTCTAAAAGGTTATTTTGCACTTACCAGACTTAAGGCGTTGACGAATGCGCCCAAACTAACAATATATTTTGTATTGTATAGCCAATAATTTTTGGCAATACGGTATAATTATAAAGAAAAGGCAAATCTTCGCTGTCAAACAGCGATTTTTAAAAGTTCTACTGTTCGATCTTTTAATTTTTCTTTTAACAAACAAATACTGCGCGAATTGCTTTAAAATATTTCAGTAAATCTATATCCATCAAAAATCACGGGCACAATCCACAGGGTGTATAAAAAAAACTGCAAATACCATAATTTGTATCCATGAGATTATACATTAGAATTTCAATGACTGTGCAACTAATTTCGCTTCTGGGATTTGAAAATACGTTTCCCAGGGTTATCAAAACAAGCACACAAAGTGAAATAAACTTATGAGTTCGATTACGAATGGCTCAGTTAAGAACAAAACTATACGAACAAACTCAACCTCCGTCTAAAGTCGTGTTAATTGGAAAATTAAGCACATAACACAAGGGTACGCAAAACACAATGGTTAAGGCCGGCGCACACTAGAGCTATGTGCTTAGCAAAAAGTCATTCGTGGCCATTGGCGTAAGCCAGTTGCTCTCGTGTGCGGGTGACTTTTCAGGCGACTTCAGTAGCCAGCCTGTCGATTTGTCCCGCTATGCTAATATTTTAGTGTTCACTGACTGTGAAAACAATAGATTTTTAAAGACATGAATGATTATAATAACTCAAAATTTACATAGCGGGACAAAATCGTCAGGTTGGCTACGCCACTGGGCGACTTTGGTCATTCGTGCCACTTACGGAAAATATCTAGCATGTTTGACAATTTCTACCTCGCGTGCCGAAATTTTTCCGTGTCCGGCAAACTGAAAGCTATCTGCTTATGGATTGTCTTAACAACGCATGCGTTATATACGAAAGTATACATCCAAGATTGCGGACAGTTGCAAAAACAAAATTTTGGATGGAAGTGAAGATTAGACTAGACTTCCGCTTTAAACACCGTTATCCAAGTGCTATTAATTATATTACCTGTTTGCGAAAGCTCACTAGTTATTTCTGCAATAGCGCATTCCCGTTTTTCTCTTTCTGTCTTCTTCTGTTTCTAAAATCTGTAGAATTCACATCGTATAAACACCTGTATTCTGGCCAAAGGTCAACCAGTTTGTCTTCCAATATGCCCTCAGCCACCAATTCGTTTTGCTTTGTTTGCACCGCTATCTTGGATGTTTACCTTTGTATATTACGCATGCGCTGTTAAGACAACCCATAACTCGGATAGCTTTCAGTTTGCCGCACACGGAAAAATTTTGGCACGCGAGGCAGAAATTATCAAACATGCTAGATATTTGCCGTAACTTCTGTAAGTGGCACGAATGACCAAAGTCGCCTGAAAAGTCGCCCGCACACGAGAGCAACTGGCTTACGCCAAAGGCCACGAATGACTTTTTGCCAAGCACATAGCTCTAGTGTACGCCGGCCTTTAGGGAGCGTTAGTAAACATGGTAACCCTGGGAAACGTATTTTAAAATCCCAGAAGTGTAATTAGTTGCACAGTCATTGAAATTCTATAGTGCATTAAATTATGGTATTTGCAGTTTTTTTTAATACACCCTGTATACCATGCGCACCCGCGTTTTCCTGTTAACCGAATATTTCTTTGCTTTTTGCATGCACATGCAGAGTTCTGAGCTCAGATGGCATGAGAAAAGTTATCTCGTGGAATTTGTAATCAAACGGAAAACAGCCGAATTTTTTTCTCTGACTGAGATTAGAAAATATTGGCGATCCATGCAATATAGTTAAGATTGTCTGATCGAATGAACACGCATTTAACTTGTTCACTTATTCCCCTTGTAGAGCGATCACAAAAGAACGACATAAACGAGATTTCGGATGTAAGTATACGACAATTCACGGGGATTGGAATCAGGCTTGACGTTAATCACTACACAACAATCATCAAAAATTCTGATATTACAAATACAAGTACCACGTGCATATCCGCGGCGCTTGGACAGGGATCAATATTAAAACTAATAAACAGCACATTTAAATACAACGTCAACGATTACTCTTCCATGCTAGAAATATCCATCAATGGTTATTCTCTTGTCCAACTAAATGGAAATGTGTTTCGTAGTAACCACTTCAAGAACATTTTGAGACTCCAAACTGTTAATTCAGGAATAACAAGAAAAAATCCAGATCATATATTGAAATTAACAAATAATACATTTCAGTACAATACGAATCCTATCAGTGCAACATCGGCTATGCTGGAGTTAATCTACCATCGCTATTTTCTTATCCAAGTAAATGAAAATAAGTTTCAGAATAACCACTTTAAAAACATTTTGATATTCCAAATTTACGCTTCAATATTGCCTAGTTACAGCAGTGGATCTTCTTTAAAACTAGTAAACAATACCTTTCAGTACAACAGGAACTCTATCAGTGCAACGGCTTTGTTGGTATTTTCCTTCAATAGCCATAATGCTTATTCGTCTACCCAGATAAATGGAAACATTTTTCAAAGTAACCACTATGAGAACATTTTGAAATTTCAAGCCCTTTATTCCACATGGACAAACTCAAGAAACAAATTGTTATTACTTGACAACAGCTTATTAAATAATACAGCAAAAAATTTAGTTGATTTTACTGAAAATGCTCAGGTGGTTGTCATTCGTGGGAATACATTGTGGCACAATGCGGTGGTAAGAAGTGTCTTTAATCTAGTCAATAACCATCCCACGAGCAGTTTGAATTTCACCAGAAACAGTCTGATTGCCAATATTATTATTCATCGACGCACTCCAAGTTCATTTTATGATATCAATGATGTTGCAGCTGTAATCTTCTTAAGCAGACAAATATTTGTGAATGAAAATTTTTTTGAAAACCCATTTCTTCCTTTGGAATTGATGCTTACGCCAAACTTGAATTCACATCATATAAATGGGAGAATGAATTGGTGGGGATTAACAGACGTGAACGATGTAATTGCGAGAATTTTTGATTTCCGTCATCGAAATTATTTACCTCAATTAAATTTTTCACCTTTTCTTGCAAGTGCTAATCTTTCTGACGTCTTTAAAGGGGAGACAAATATCATGTTTAGAAAGGGAAATGTACTGGGAGGTCTCGTAACTGAAGACATTATCCTCGAGAAAGACAATTCTCCTTTTATTGTGACGAGAGACATTATAATTTTACAAAATGCTTCGATAACTATTCAAGAAGGTGTTCAAGTCAATGTGAGTCCACGTATTGGATTTCATGTTTACGGCAAGTTGGAGTTGCTTGGAAAATTGAGTGCTCCAATCAAATTTGATATTGCAACGAGTTTGAAAGGAATTTCCAACTTTGGACAATATCCGATTCGTCTTGTGAATGGTTCAAAACCATGGGAGGGTATTGTTGAAATACTTTATAACAATACCTGGGGAACAATATGTGATGATTATAACACGAATACTAACAATATTGTCTTATGCAAACAGCTGGGATTTGAGGGTTATAGTGGCGGCTATCGTTATACGCCCAGTTCTGGTAGCGCGAAGCCAGTTTGGTGGAGACATGTAAGATGCGACTCAGATACTTATAATGATATTGCCAGTTGTTCTTTCCAAGGCTGGGGTGTATCGTGTTATCGTAGTCTATGGACTGTACGCTGTAATCCTGGCTCCTGGCGCGGAATACGATTCCGAGAAACGGCTAAAGCAAGTGAAATATCCCATGTAAAATTTGAACGTGGTGGAAGTAATACCCAATCTCATATAAGTCGCTATGTCTTGCATTTTGACGTATTGAGACAAGTCATTAGAGATGTAGAGATTCGCGAGTCTTTCGGTGGAATTAAAATTGCTTTTCAAGTACCTGGTTCTAACATGGCAAATATACTGATTGAAAATAGGCGCAGAAATGGCAATGGAATTGAGATATTTTCGTCACTAACTTGTTATAATTGTAGCGTTTTCAACAAAGACAAGGGCGTTTTAAGCGAAACAATTGGCATACTATCATTTACTGATGATCGTGAAATTAATTACATTGATTCCATACTGCGAAACATTATGATGAGAAAGGAAATTTCAATTTGCGGGCAAAATAGAGAAATAACCATTGGTAGAAAAGACATGCAGATTATCACCACGTCGAGAACGACTTCCTATTCCTCCACGAATGTTGAATGCATTTTTAAGATAACACTTTTATCGGAAGCTATTTTAACTACAGAAATAAAGAGATCAGACATTGAAATATTGACAATTACCGCGTCAAAAGTAAATTCATCAAAAAACATAAGCCGTTTTAACGCTAGCCACAGCGATACGTACAACTTTGGACCTGGTTACTTAACTGTACGTTACTGGCGAAGGGCTTATTCCTATGGAACAAATATTAGAATTGTTATCGTCAGTGCAAAAGGTAACTACAAGGACTATTAGCTGTAGTTAAACGCCATAGACAGTACCCACCAGTTCAAATAGTATTTCATGAAGAAAGCATTACTGTCATTGCAATATAGGGATATTGATAGAATTTTGCAACGATTGGAAATAAGCATAATAAGGGCTGCTTTCCACTTACGCGTTATTTTTCGCGCGAAAAATTTGTGATTCCATATTTTTATTATTTAACACATGCATGGTTCAACAAAGTTCATTTAATTTATTTACCTAGCTTTTTCAAATGGCGTATACAAGGATTTAAACTTACTTGCATGTACGTGCGAATGAAAAACGAAATATTTGCATATTTTCTTTTGAATTCAGAACAGTCAAGTCGCACTAATTTATTTATGCTGTTAAAATTCAAAAGAAAATATGCAAATATTTCGTTAGCAAACGATTTCGCTGTCAGTGGAAATCCGAGTGGAAATCTGATTTCGCTGTCAGTGGAAAGCCGGTTTTCCACTAGCGATATTTTTCGCGCGAATCGACATTTTACTTTTGTTCCAGAGCTCTCAACTGCAACCATCTGGAACAAATTGCTCAAATACAGAGGAATAAAGTCGCTTCGCGCGAAAAATATCGCTAGTGGAAAACCGGCTTAACTCTACTGTATATCAACGACAATGCAGCCCCAAGCACTCAGGCGTTTACTGATTCGTTTGTATCGGCTAAGGGGCTGATTACATGAGCCCTCTTACCCGAGATTTAACGAAGCGTGAGATGACTTTGAGGTATTGAAATAAGTCTTTATGATACCAAACAAGCACATGCTATTGTTGTGGTGATTATACGACTGCCAGGATCATGTTATTTGCTTATTTCAATATCTCAAATTCATCTCACGTTTCGTTGAATCTCGGGTGACCGGGCTCATGTAAACAGCCCTAAGGGCTGTTTACATGAGCCCGGTTACCCGAGATTCAACGAAGCGTGAGATGATTTTGAAGTATTGAGATGAGCAGATAACATGATTCTGGTAGTCGTATAATCACCACAACAATAGCATGTGCTTGTTTGGTGTCATAAAGACTTATTTCAATACCTCAAAGTCCTCTCACGCTTCGTTGAATCTCGGGTAACCGGGCTCATGTAAACTGCCCCTAAATCTTGTATTGCACTTACACTTAGCATCTTCATGTATATATTTGGTGAAAACGCAACGATAACCGCTTCTTCATGCACCCTAATCAATTTTGAGCCCCATACCAGGTTTAAATAAACTATACTTGGCTAAGATTCAACATTATTCTCAATTGAAAAGGAGACTATAGGAAACGTAATGTTTCGCTGCTTTAATATTTAGATTACCTTAGAGATTAGTTGAGTATAAGACATCCATATCAAATTTTCATATCCCTCACGTACGTCTCACTAGTAGGACATAGAATGGGACAAACTGCAATTAACTTGGCATCAAATGTGGTATAACAAATGCCTAAAATGGACAAAACACTTCTCGACGTTTCGACCTCAGGGCCTTCGTCAGGAGAATTAGTATGACTATAATATGATCATACTAACTCTTCTGACGAAGACCCTCAGGTCGCGCGAAACGTCGAGAAGTGTTTTGTCTATTTTAGGCAGTTTTTATACCTCATTTGATGCTAAGTTGTTTGAAGATGTTGCCACGCTGCTCCCTGGTTATATTGAAACAAACCACAATTAGTTTGACCCTGCATATTTTGTTTAGAAAACGAGGCGTCCTTATTGAAAACTGAACTTGGAACTGCAATTTTAGTTGGTGGCTTGCTGGTCAATAATTATTATGGCATACGACAATATCGCCGCAGTCGTACAAAAGATCTTAAACTGCAAAATGTTACCTTGAGGGATAATTATCATGGCATTTATAGCGAATATCGCTCCACAAATCTTTCTCTAGAACAATTGTACTATAACAGATGGGTATTATGCTATATACCTAAGAAATTATCGTGATCATGTGGGTGATTTATTTCCAATATCTATCTCAAATCACCAAAAACTGGAGAGCTGCGTTATCCGAAGAATGAGACGCTCTGTGATCTATGTCCGTTATACTGATTATTATTACCCACGCCGGCAAATAACGTTCATAACTTTTCACCGTTGTATCATACTCGAAAACGAAAGAATATCTGAGGTAGATTATTCGTCGCTACTCAATTTATATGTCAGTGAATGCAGCATTTCACATACTCGTAATATTGGGTTCAATATATATCTATCAGAGTCCATCAAAAGAGTTTTTTCACTTTCCCTCGACAAGAACTTAATATTTAAGAATTGGGGAATGCTGTTGAGTTACGGGGCTTATTCCGTGGACAGTTTGCAAACCCCAATCACAATTAGAAATAACATTTTTGTAAACAACTCTCTTCGACCAGGAGATGGGTTAATAGGCTTCTATGGCAAAAGAATAAGAAGTATAATCACCACTATCAACAACAATACCTTTATCAAAAACAAGTGCTCCTTTATGATAAAAGTTGATTTTGAATCGAATCGGATGCCGCAAACGTTTGTGATAAAAAACAACATTTTGGAACAAAATGAAGCCGTTCCCTCAAATAAACAGAGATATATTGAGGCTGGTGTCACATCTTACACGGTTGGGCTTTTTGGATGCATGTTTAGCAATTATGATATTCATGGGAATATTTTCAATAACGAGAAAATGAAGAAAGAGTTGTTTGTCGGACGTACATGCGGTACGAATTACTTTTCAAATGCAATTGATGCTACACTTAATTATTGGGGCACGTCATCCAGCGAAAACTTAACGGAAAGAATTTTTCACGCTGACAATTGGAATGACAGACCAAGAATAAAGTACCTTCCAGCTGCTGCTACACGGAATTTCACGACAATTATAAAGCAAAAGATACATGCATACTTGAACCGATCCAATATTGGTGGTTATTTGCCTTCTTCTCTGCGTCTGACAACAGTAAACAGTCCATATGTCGTTATGAATGATTTAACAATATCCGAAAACGCCACACTGGATATTGAGCCAGGCGTTCAATTGTACTTTAAACCGCACATTGGTTTGCTAATTCTTGGAAATATCATCGCCCGTGGAACAACGAATGAAAAAATAAAGTTCTGCTCTTTGAAAAATAAGTGCCAAGTTAGGTCACATAGTAGGGTCCGACTTTTTGGAGGAGATGAAGAATATAAAGGAAAACTGGAAGTTCTTGTTGATGGAATTTGGCAGAGTGTATGTTACTATTACTTTACTTCAAAAGATGGGACAGTGGCCTGCAGGCAATTGGGTTATGGTAAATACATTAATCATTATGGAAGATCCCACAATACTGATCCTCATTACAAAGTTTCCTTGAACTGTCGTGGTAATGAAACTTCTCTATTCAACTGCAAGAACCAAAGTGTTAGTCACTGTGGCTACAGCTGGTATGCCTATAAATACGTATTTCTCGAATGTGAAAGGAATTATAAATGGGGCGGTGTACGCATTGTCCATGGAAACATCGTCAATTCGAGTAGTGGTTATAAAGGACAAAATGAACAGTCGTCATTAGAAAATATTTTCATTAACGATGCGAGTACATTGCATGGGCAAGCTGTGTCTTCTATCCAGGTTATAGGACGTTCCCCATTAATGACAAATGTTCATATCAGTGAAAGTAACGGGATTGAAATTATTGCGCAAAGGCGTACAATGGCGCTAGAAAATGTTATTTTCGAGAGCAGTTTGGAATTTCCAGCAATATCGATTCTGGGAAACAAAGGATCAGTTTCAATCTCCCGGTGTTCATTTGAAAGAGGAAAGCAACATGGGATAGCTATTGCCCCAATTAAAAACATCACCTTCATGTATCCGTATCTCGGCCACAATTTGTGCAATTCCGTTCAAAAAGTCTACGTCGACGATGAATCATATATTTATCTAAGTGAAAAGGATACAATTACAGGCATATTTGTGGTTTAGAAATATCATCTCCGAACAATACAACAATTCATTTCCGACTGCTATCCTGGGTGAGAAGTTCGTACACTGTAAATGTTTATAATGGTGATCGTTCCTCGACAATCGCAAGCATGCACGATTGGAACGTTAATCAATATGAACACAAAGTTATTGTGATTCCATCAAATTCAGTGTTGATAGAGGCAGACATATCAACATTGAGAGGATTTTTAGCTGAAATTAAAGTCATTGGTCAAACAGGTGAGAAACTTTTGTATTTTTTGAATTTTGATCCATCAACTTTCTTGACTCCCGTCTTAATCCCATTGACCACTCGGATGGTAATGATTGCTTCATCATTGTTTTAAAATGTTTTAGATCAGACCATGCGGGCGAGTTTTGTTATACATAATTTAAGGAGAGTTCTTTATTTTTGATATGACACTGTCAATTCCTTACATTAATTTACTTGTTCACAACTATTACTAGAAGAAAATTTGCAATTTGCTTATCCCGTTTCTTAGTAAATAAAGGCAAAAAGAATATATTTAGTTTCGACCATATAAATGTTTTCACCATTTTTCCCATTTCACTTTTTAGGCGGGCATGACTCCCCCCACTTTATAGGGGAATTATAGCAACTTTTTGTTTGGTTCATGCCGTGCTTTTGGCAGTGATAGCCATTGGCATAGGGAGTTGTACATAGGTATCGAGTAAACGATTGGGCCTGCATGGAATCCAAAAGTGATATTTTATATCCTTTCAAATGATCCAATTTAATATATTTTTAAGGGACATCCAAGCAGAAACCGGAGATCAACGTTAATATTGAAGAATGTAATTTTCAAGAAATTTCTGGTTCAGCGGTTCATTACACTTCAGATCCTGAACTCGCCAGCACAGTAACGATTAAACGTAGCCACGTGACTTTACAAGGAAACAAAAATCAACCAAATACGGCATCAATTGAAATGTTGGTTAAAAACAACGACACAGTAGAGATCTCAAACACGGTATTTTCCAGTGTCAGTCGAGGGGGGATCCACATCTACCTTTACGATAAACCAGGAGTGATAAATATAGTTAATAACGTCATTTCCGGTAATGCCAATGGCAGCGAGTCCGTTTATGTAGTTGTTGTTGGAAGTGGTACGTCTAGTGAACTTCTAATGGCTGGAAACTACTTTAATCGAAACGATATTTCTTACCCACATGGACTGGTTGTAATCAAAAACATGAATGCAATCGTTAAAGACAACGTGTTCTACGAAAACAATGCAGAAACTCCATTTCATTTTATTAATTCAAAAGACCGAAACATCTCGCCTATCGCTACCAAAAATATATTTTTTTTGAATAAGGGATATTTACATACACTGCTGATTCAACCAAACGGTCGTGAATTTATTAACGAAAACTTTTTAATCAACCCGGCTAATCTGTTCGAAATCAGTACTCTGCCAAGCAGTTTTACTAATTTCGTAAATGCCACAAATAATTGGTGGGGAAACGTGAATCCCAACGTGATCATGAGGAAAATTAAGGATAAAAGAAGTGCTGTCGGATTGCCACGTGTAATATATCAACCTTTCTTAACGACACCAACACTCATATTTTCAACAGGCAAGTAACCGATTGTAAAGTTAGTATGTATAGGCTGGTGCAGTTCATATATATGCTGATGCCGAAAGCGAAATGCGAACGGCTCTACGTTACAAGACGAGATTTAGATACCTGGTTAGATTTTTTTACTATAAATTTGTTTTGTATGCCCATGTTAGGTTTTGTGTGTTAGAACGTACCAGTAGCGTCGCCAGCTTGATAAGTGGGGGGACTTATTCATATATTCGTGTTTTATATTATTCATTTCTTTTCAAATTGATTGTTTTATCGGTCTGTCAATATGAATATATGAATATGTCCACCCCACTATCGATGCTGGCGACGCCACTGGAACGTACAATTGTACGTTTGTGTGGATTGTTGTGTAATTTGGTAATTTCTCACTTTTGCGTTACTTATTTAGCTAGACCGATTGCCAGGTTTTGACAGTTTACTACGGACTTGTGATATCGATTTAAAAAATGGTGTCTTCTTGCAATTCAATGGCTAAATAAGGAAACATTTTTGAAGGTGCACGGCGTATATTTTTAGTGTTAAGCTTTCGGTGATTGACCATTGTTCCTTACCGAAAGCCTTGCAATTGAAAAAAATATTCGCGGCGTACCTTCAAATTAATAAAACGAGTCTCAGTTATGACGAAAATTGAGGTTGTTTCAAATTATTATTTACCGTCTTTTATGAATCAAAATATAAGTAAGTTCTCCAGAGTAAACGTTGTTGATTGATTAATTAAGCTTGTCTCTCTTTTAGGATTATGCCCGTTTGGTTGGATAAATATTGGCAGGAAATGCTACAATAATCTTAGAAGTCCTCATAGTTTTACGAAGTCCAAAGAAATGTGCAAGGTTAGAAAACATTTTTATCATTGATTGGCTTACAATAGAAATCCGTCGGGCAGAACTGAATATATGAATATTCATTATTTAATCATCGGTCTAGTTACGCCCCTGGCTGCGGGCGACGTTTATGCAAACTTGAAACTCCATGCACTGCACTAGACAGTTGAGATATTTATATAATTTACTTATGTATAATTATTCAGTTTTATCGTAAGGGCATTTCAGTAATTCAGCTAGAATTAATCTCATGCAAGGAAGCTGCATGTCTCAAGGAAATTATACTATAATTCATAGATTTCTTTATTCCATTACTTTACAACCTATAGAAAATTGGTGGGAAAATGCTTGCTTTTCACGAAAATGAAATTGACTCACCGGAAGTGTTGCAAAAATTGCATGCAAAATGGGCATATGGAACACGATCAAGTATTTGGATCGACGTCTTTAAAGAGGTAGCTATATTGATATGGTGCACGAAAGCAGTTAGTAACATTAGTTTATAAAATATAAACCAATTTCAAAACTGATGGTCACAATTCAAAACATCAGTATATAGATATATCACGGCAGCAGAATAGCTTATCACCTGCGTTGCGGCAATAATATATATTATGGCAAAATTTCAGCATATATATTTTAGAACAACGAAAATTTTCAAATTTGAAAATTTTGTTCGCGTATTTAATTTATTTCCTTTGTTATTAAGAATTTTCTGTTGTTTTTACACGATATTCCCCACCAAATTTTATGTATGTGCATGTATTATTGACCGAGTTTGATGTCTGGATTCTGTGAAATATCAGACGGAGGATTTTAGTACAAGTGAGTTCAATAATCGGTTTTCTAAAGGAAAATATGTAAAAAAGAAAAATATGTAAAAAATATTTGAAAATTCTCCAGTTTCTTGCCGGTTGGTAATTTTTTTGCTTTTTTTTATATTTCTTTTGTAGCTTAAGTCTTGAAATTTCCACAACAAATATAACTTTTGAATAACTTTAATTTTGACACACAGCCCAATGTCTGGCGTCAAGTATTTCAGCTCATAACAATTCAGCTCTTAAAACTATTTTGGCTTCAAGCTAATATGCGGATGTTTGTCAGGAGTTAGCGTTCCAGTTTACTTACAGTTTATGGGCTGAAATGCATGAGACATTCGGAGTGCTGGTCCAGTGACGGAATATATGGATCACGGTCCAATTGACCATAACAAAAAAGATGGCGGATGTACATTTTACCAGGATGCATTGCGGTCGGAAATCGTTAAAAAAAATGAACTGACGTATTTTAAAGGACAGGCATAAAACAAGAAGTTATTTTCTTCGCTGTGTAGAAATTTCACGTCATAAGGAGTTTTTCTTGCCATCTTTTTTCAGTCAATCATTCTTAATGCCCGCAATGCATTCTGGTAAAATGTACATGCCGCCATCTTTTTCGTTACGGTCAATTGATATGGATTTTTCCGACCGCTCGTCAACCAATCAGATTATCAGAGGATTTTGAAAAGCCATAAAATAATTAAATATATCCATCTGTTCTTTTCAAGGATGCGATTCCATTCCAGAATAATAGATGTTGGATGTTCGATGGAAATATAAAAAAAGCTTCATGTGACATAACGAAGCCAACAATATGCGAAAAGAGTAAACGTATGTTCCATATGCATCGTTTATAAAATAATATAATGTATATCAAAATAACAAAATTGAAAATTAAGATACTTTAAGATATCTAATTAAGATACATCCATGCATGCAACAAACATATTAATACTAGAAATATATATAAATTAGCCCTAACAAAGGCCCAAATGCATGTCAGAAATTGGTTGCCGGGAATAAAACGGAGCTCCTTTAACTTCGCCTTAATACAAGAACTGACAACTTCGTTCTCTCTCGGGTTACTTCAATGATATAAATTTTAGGGCATGAATTAAGGAACCGAAGGTATTAAGAGTAAATTGAAAGAGATTTAAAAGAGATTTTATAGAAGATATTTTATCCTAATGCGATTGAAGTATAAACGTTTCTTTCTTATATAGGTATTCGTTGTATCAATGACTGCTCCCTCAACGGAATTTGTCTGGGACAGACGTGTAAGTGTGATACTGGATGGGAAGGAGCTGATTGTTCGTCATATCACTGTAAAGATGTTGGTAATTGTGGGACCTTTGGAACTTGCGTTGGACCAAATCATTGTAAATGTCGTTTAGGATGGAAGGTTAGTCCAATCGATGGTTGTATGTCAAGGCATTTGAATCGTTGGATATAATTAGGCGGCAACAATTTAAACTATCGAAATTTAAATTAATTAAAAGTTGAAAATTAAAAAACAAATATATAATTGAAGCAGTGGTATAATAAAATATTATATTTTAATGTAATATACAGGGTGTTTAAAAAAAGTACCAACTATTAAAATCAAGCTTTTGTTCGAATGACTTATTATTATGCTAAACTCACGGGTGCTTATTAAATTAAAATGTATAACGAGATGCTCAATTTGAATGCTTTAACCTAATCACTATGCTATTTACCAGTGCATTATATAATCATGCATTAAAATTCCAACCGAAGCTTCATTTCAATAAGGAGTACATTTTTTTATACACCCTGTGAGTACGCAATAAATCTATTTCTTTTCTTTCCTCACATTTCCGATACATTTAAAAGAAGTATTCATGTGTCTCTTATGATACAATATTTTTTGTATATTGTTTTAGGGTCGTGGTTGCACTGTTAGTTATTGTCTGCCGTTCAGAACTTGTCAAAGTTGTCTCTCACGCAGAGGATGTGGTTGGTGCGACAACACAGGGAGATGTTTACCTGGTACAGGTTATAAAGCAGACATTGGCCACTGCAAATCGTGGTTTTATCACAACTGTATTAGTGTTGGACGAAATCCGTCATGTTCTAGTGCTATAAAAGTGAGTAGTTAATAAAAGCGCAGGCGAGCGAAATACGTATATATATATATATATATATATATATATATATATATATATATATATATATATATATATATATATAAATTAGTTGCCTGATGATTGCTTGTTGCATGAAACTTGAAGTAGCAACTTATTCATTTTAAAAAATTGTAATTGTAATTATATATTATATTGCCGTACTTGAAATGCTATTCTTTAAAAAATATATTCGATTGGAAACATTAATCACGGATGCGTCTGTGTATTTATACGTATCAATTATTTTGTATAATTCATTACAGGTTATCGACTGCAGCACAAATTTGTGCAATCCTGACCAGTCGCGGTCAAACAAAGGAAGTTGTCAGCAATGCAAGGATTTGGAACGCTGCTATAATTACAACAATACAGTATGATTTTGATCACTTTATTAGCTATATCATAATTCATGGCCAGAAAATTCAGACATAATTAACACACTACTTCCGCCTAAATTTGCATATGGTGTCAAAATAAAGCTTCGTGAGTTTATAGTAAACTGTAATGTGCACAGTACTAAATGCTAAAATACACCTTTAGGTAGGTCGATTATAATTTGCCTTATTTGCTCGTTGCAGAGCAAATACAGTATTTCAAAATGTTTTATCAGTATTCGTCCAGCATTTTCAAAATTTATCACGTTGAATACCATATAAAACGAAACTGTAATAGCGTAGAAATAAAATAAAAATGCAGAGCCGACATAAACCTTTACCAGCAAAGTATTACCTCAGGATCTTTAATATGACACGAATTACAAGAAACAACCAGGGCAAATTGCAAAGATGCAATGATTTTCTTAAATTTTGCGAAATTGAAGAATGCGCAATATAATTTATAGTTCTGCAAACGAATAATATTTGAACAGATATGCAAATTTCCTATGTAAGGCAATCTGCATATTCCATGTCCGCAATTTCTGGCCATGTGTTTTAGTCGGAATGTCTGGTTACTATGCTAAGATCATGTTCTCCAATATTGCCTACCATTTGGCATTTATGGATGGTAAGGCTATAAAGTTAGGGCCGCCCAGAGGGGAGCGGGGAATGGGGCAATTTGCCCAGGGCTGCAGTGTTGCAGGCACCACCTGGGCTGCATGGGACATGTCGCAGAGCTCGGAAGTTTTCGTCCAATTGGACTAATGCTTTTCTATGCTTTCTAAAGAACGAAGCTTTGCTATTGGTTGAAACAGAAATGTATTGTAAAGTTCAGCAAATGAAAATCATTCTTGCGAGGAGCTAGAATGAGCCTGGGCTACGGGAATATAATTTAAAACTATTTTCGGAAATATATAGTCTTTTTTTAAAATAATTTTGGGTTTTTTTAAGGGTTAGGAAATGTAACCCTATATTCGATAGTGTAAAAAATCTCACCCCCAAACCCAACTAAATCTACTTGATCCCCCAAAATTTACACCACTTCAATCGTATTACAGTGGTATAAAATTACATGAACTTTAGTATGGTATTTTATATAAAACGCCAATCTAGAAACACGAAGATTAAAATTTAAAATACTACACCATGAAAGATTAATTAAACAATTATAATAAGTTTCGAATCTGCGTTCAGGACAATTCCACATCACCAAGATGTTATGGGTGGGACGAAAGGAAATGTGCGAAAGGATTTGTAAAGAAGGACTACGAAGACACTTCGCGGATTGACAAAGTCGTAACGATGTCAAATGTAAAACTAATCAATTCCGATGACTTGAAATTATATGGTTGTCCAGTTGAAGAGAACTTGGTTATTGTGACAAAACAAAGCAGCATAAAATTCAAAAAAGGAGACATCATATCAAGCACGCAAGCAGAGGGAGTGTTTCACAAAATAGAAGATATCGCATACACAGGTCAGGGGTTTTCGTGTTATAATAGTACCTAGCAGGGGAATATATAAAACAAATAATTAAAAAATTGTAGACGCACTGTACCATGCATAGTTTAACCGAGTATGGTTTAATTTTATTGCATGTCGTTTCACCGTTTTATCTTTTGTATGCCCTGGCGATATATAAGAATAGTATGATGTTAAAACCTATCATTCCATGCAAGTACCGCTTGAAGACGAGAAATCTTTGGGTACGTCGTGCGTGTTATTTTTCAAAAATCACAGCCCTGTAATTTCTTCTATAGATCAACATGTTCTCATGAGCGTAATTCCAGCAAGACTGGAGGAGGCAATTTCCTACAGTGATTTCAATCAAGAGGTTCCACTTCAGACCGTGTTAGTTCAAGACCTGTTTGAAGACCGTCCTGATGACAGCTTATTGCAAGATGTTCTCTCAGGAGACTCCCCAATTAACGGAACAAAAATACATACTATTTTTACTGGTGGGTTTCACAATTGTTACTAGCATGATTATCGCTTGAATGCAATTGCAATAAAAAGCTGCTTCAGCTAACAGATTTTGCGGTACCTAGCAGGTACATCTATAATATTGGTAACTTTATTGGCGCATTTCTTAGTAATTATGATTTTATAGTTTCAAATTTAATTTTTTTTCTAAATCCAAGATGAAATTGAAATGCTTACCTTATCTGCTAGGATCAGGCAACAACGTATACAAATGTTTAGCAAGAACCTACACGACTGAGGATGATGAAGAGGTCACAACTTTCTTCTTGGTCATTCCCATGACATCCATCGATGGAAATTTGAGTGTTGGTCATGTTCTTGTTGGCAATAGCAGCGACGGTTTTCTAGAGACCGTTACTGACATTATTCAAGAGGACGATGCCATGTTTGTTTATACTGAACTGACGACGTGTAGCCACAGTTTTTCAAATTTGAAGAAGTATGTATAGCTACTTGATATCTTAATAGCCGCGCGTAAGCGGTAAGCCAACCTGCATGCATGTATATAAATCCTCGTTTAGTAGCAAGCTGAACGTTTCCGTTGACTTATGGCCGTTACCGTAGTGCCACAAAACCTTTCCGACAGTGATTATTGTAATTGGTTTTAATATCAAATTGATACGTTTCCCGTTGCCAGGGCCGTAACTAGAACGATAATTGGGGGGGGGTGTTTATTCATATATTCAGTTCTGCCCGACGGATTTCCATTGTGAGCTATTGCACTTACAAAAAAAATCCGTCGGGCAGAACTGAATGTATGAATAAACACCCCCCCAATTATCGTTCTAGTTACGGCCCTGCCCGTTGCTAAAAAATAACGGACAGAGACGACGTTGTTCTGCACGCCATAAACATGATTTTCAAAGTATGTCGACACAGTTTTGTAGGTTGCGTGACACCGTAAATAGTTTAAATGATCCTGACGCTATAAACCTGCCCTATAGTTCTTACTTATTGACGTTTGTAGCCAATTAAGTTCAACCCATATAATAGAATTCAAATATGACATTTTAGTTTTAGTGAAGGTGTTTTACAATCCAAAAAACATTGACATTGTTGTCTTTTGGATTGTCTATGGTTTTTAGTAGTATTTAAAACGCAAGAAGGAGTGTGAATTCGAGCGCTAGCGTGAGTAAAACGCGAGTTCGAGTGTTTTAAATTACTTCAAATACACCGCATTGTTGTCGAGGAATAAGTTTACTCCATGTATACAAATGCTAGTCAGGATGAAACATTATAATTTTAAAGAATACTATAATGAACGTGACAAATTATATAATGTGCCATCCTAATTATAGCATTCATAATACTTTACCGTGTATAAAGCCACCACACATGACTTCTTATGGTTCATTTCAAAGGCTGAAATGCTTATGAATTATTAATGAGTTTTTGAAATTCATTTTCTATTTCTTTTTTTTCCATATAATTATATATTATCAAAAATTTAACATTTTGTATACGTAAGTTATTAAATTCTCACATGATTTCACGATATGTTTCTAGATTTAAAACCTTAGGAGAGTCAACTAGCTCTTGTTTGGGTGGAGACGATCTTCTTGGCTTAAAGATAACAGGAAATGATGCGAACGTCACGGTCAGAGATATAATCGTTGGGAGAACAAGTGGTGCATTTTTTGGGAAAGTAAGTAAATTCAATTGTATAATCAATCAATCTTTGGCAGTAGAACGTTACATTTCATTAGCAGTGCAGTTTTTGTACCTGGCATTCTTCCTCGATAAATATCTTTATATACCTCCCGTTGTTTTCTCCCCAAAATAGACTCGTGGCTAACTAAGTGTTCATGTATCAAAAAAATACATATCTGCAAATGACTTCTCTCACTTCTTTTGAATCTTTTAAATTTTGAATTAATGCAATATGAAGTAGCACTCAGCTTTGGTTGAATGATAACGCCTCCCGTACGCTTATACGATATTCATATGTCTAGTAAGGTCATTTTATGCCAAATTTCGTATTTGTACGGACGTTTCGTGCCTGCGTATTCAAACAAATCAATTGTATAATTTCCATGATGCGCATGCAGTGTGAGTTTCCATGATGCGCAGTAATGTGACAGTAGAGCCTTCATATCCTATTAACAATAATTCGATGTAAATACATATATGTTTGATTTTGACTTGCGGAAAAATGGTTCGCTAGCGTCTTAGCAAAATATCTACACATAGAAATATTTATACATAGAAATGAGATCATCAAACAAATCATCAATTTGTAGAAAACATCGCTTGAATTAGTTTTATGAAGAACTTTTGGCCGTTAACCAGGACCTTTATCACTGCAATGAATTTTTAAATGCAATGATTTTTCAACAAACAAACATTTTTTGCATTTATTGTAACTTTCTATCAATTTTTTCACACACTTTTGTATTAAGTCACTAGCTGTACCTTTTGGCTTCGTTTTAGGTCCTTAGTTTTTACGTGGAGAATGAAACCTATTTTGTGGAGTTGATGCCACTAGTTTCAGTAAAAGATGGAAATATCAAGGAACAATTCAATATCAGTGCTACCAGTCCTCGTCGGCGAAAAAGGGCGGAATATGACTTCACAGGGAAAGGGAATTTTAAGAAAGAAAAACATGAACGAGTATATACAATCAAGTTAATAACGACTCGGGCAGATATTTGCAAAATTTTCATGGATGCAGTTACCTCAAATAGATTGCCGCAGCATACTATGTCTTTTATCTATATTATACCGTAAAAAAATCGAGTACAATTTATATGTATCGTTGACTTAGGCATGCACGAATTGTGTACTGGTGTATATTTTATTTTTCTAAGTCAACGTACATTTTTAGCATGCGAAAATTTCCCACACCCGTTCAATGTACAGCAAATATATATATATATATATATATATATATATATATTATATATATATATATATTTTTTTTTTTTTATACAGTTCGGTGAACATCTTAAACTGAGTGCAAGCGTCGAGTTTAATGCTGCAGTGAAAATCAGTCTTCGCACTTTTTTTTTTCTGATTAAGTCAGTCGGGGTCACCTTTTCTGGTGATATGAAATTAAGCCTGAACGCTAATTTCGATCCATCAGTCAGGTAAACAGAAGCACCGAGTTTTGAATGGTAAAAAATCGTTTCTTTCGAGATATAACATGCACTTAAGGAAAAGGAAATGTTACCTTTATATAAACCGAGTTAAACAGTATATTAATATATATTAACTTTCATTTTCATAAATCATTTTCAAGGTTTTCAAAAACGTGGAGCAGAAAACTGATCGACAGCAAGGAAGTTGGCCGCTTCTGTATACCTTTAGGCCTAGTGCGTGTACCCGGAGTGTTTAGATTGGATATTGGAATTTCTGCAACTGCTTCCGCTTCGGTAAGTATCATGGGATCGACCTTAAGATATCTGTTGAAAAATTGCCAGTTTTGAAGGATATTCGAACTCATCTATTCATCATGGAATATGCAGATTGCCGTAATAATTTGCATGTTATAAGGAAAATTTTAGGAAATAATTTTATCTTTATAATGGTTGTTTCTTGTGCGATATTAAAGCTCCTAAGGTAAAATTTTGCTGGGAAATATTTATGTCGGCTCTGCATTTTCAGTTTATTTCTATGGTATTACGTCATTCGTATTATACGGACTTTGCGGTATTCAACGTGATAAATGACCAAAACTTTGGCTTGAAAATGCAGGAGGAATATAGTGAAATACTGTGTCAAAACGTTAAGATAAACTTGCTCTGTAACGAGTAATTCAGGCAAATTATAATCGACCTACCAAAAGCTTTATTTTTAGCGTTTAGCACTGGGCACATGCAGTACAGTTTGCTATAAACCCACGACGTTTTACTTTGACAGCATAAAAAATTATACAAAGTGTCCCAAAAAAATGTCCCCACTATTGAAATCAAGCCTTTGTTAGAATCTGATTGCCTTAATATTATGATAAACCCAATAGAAAGCAATACGCTTTATTTCAATGCCTCAACCTGATAACTATGCTATTTACACATACACTGCTGCGTTGATCATGCATTCAAATTTCAACAAGAGCTTTATTTCAATAGGGGGGACATTTTTTTGGGACACCCTGTACACATTTAGGCAGAAGTAGAATGTTAAATATGTCTGAATTTTCTGGCCATGAATGATAATTTCTCTTCTTTAAGGCTTCCGCTTCGTTATCCGCAAGTTTGCAATCTGAATATTCAATATCAGCAGGCGGTGAATGGAGTGGAGGGAATGATGTTCGGCCTAAATCTGATAAGGTACAAATATATATTGGTGATATTTCACACCGAAACCACTATTTAAAACACAGTATATAGTCGGATTTCATAAAATTCGTATGTAAAATTTCGTTATCTTAAATTAAACTCCATGAAACATGAAGTAGCTAGTTTTATACCGACTGTCTACAGGGCAATTTTGTGCCGTAATTGTTAATTGTTAATTTTTAATGTTGATTGTTAAAATTAATGTTTCCTCAGCAGGAATCTACAGGACGTTTTGACTGTCTTTGCGCGGTTGGAAATCAACAAGTTCAACTTGTTTTGTTGAACTTTTAGAAAAATATCTTATCGATCAGCATTATTTAATACTGTTGCCAGAGACGTGCCGGGCGAGAAGCGTATTCGAAATACAAATATTCAAGCCCAACATAGTGCTTTCAGTAAGGCCATAAAAAACAATTTAAACCATTTGAGAGTAAAGAAAATATATTGACAGTAACGTTTTGTCTTAACTTCTATCCCTATCAACTTATTTTATAGTCCTTACTTCGTACTGTCATCGTGTCGTGACGTCTCTGTCCCTTGTCCTCTCATGTACTGTTTCATCCTCACTTTGTCCTTGTTATCACCCTTTGTAAATTGATACCTTGTAAATATATTACTAGTCTATATATTCAAATTATCATGTAATTTATCATTTAGTCTGAAGATGTCTTAAATTAAGACGAAACGTTACTATCAATATATTTTTATTACTCTCAAATGGTTTAAATTGTCTTTTATGGCTTTACTGAAAGCACTATGTTGAGCTTTAATGTTTATATTTCGATCAGCATTAACTTTTTAAGTTTCGTTACTGCTACAGATGTTCAGCATTATATAAAATCTCATCTACATGCAGGGAGGGTCAACGCAACCGTCGTTTGAAGCACGCATAAAAAAAGCATCAGCGTCCGTCTCAGCATCTCTTACACCAACTTTTGAAGTCCACTGGCCATCGGTGACCTCAAAACCGTTCCAGGCGGCAGGATGGCTTCTTCGCACAATTTTAGGTATATTGTAATACTCTGTAAAATCTTGTAAACCAAAGAGTGGTTAAAATGTAGTCAAGATGGCGATGCTATTATATTGCTATCAAAATAAGGAAATTAAGCATAAGCCCTGATGTAATTTTGCTCGCAACTCTAATGGTCATAAATGAACTTTCACATTAATTTATTGTTAGCTTTCAAATCACTTACTCATTTTAGGTAGTAAAAAAGGCTCGACTCTTCCATCGCTCCTCGTCTTCAAATTAACAGCACCAATCACTGCATCGGTGGATGCAAAATTCTGTACCGAAAAATGTCCTTACGCGGGCCGAAACGTTGAAGCTAACTTCCGTGGAGGATTGCCCACAGTCTCCGGGTCTCTAACCATCAACATTGGACCATTTAATAAAAATTGGAAAATTTTTGAAATTTCTGTGTACGAATCCGTTAAAAGGTGGAGAAAAAATCTTTTCGAATGCTGACTGAATTGGGCGTAACAATGACTGAATAGATTGCCATGGTGACATTAGTGCATAGAATGCATAATTTACAATTTTACATACATTTATACATACATTTTCTCTATCATCCATTTAAACATGTTTCGAAATGCTTCTGCGTACTTCTTGGAATTGAATAGGCGTCATGATTTAATTGTTTGAATATATTATAGTGATGTTTCTCTACCGGTTGGGCTAAAGTGCCATGTTGCATTAAAAATGGCAAACCTGGCAGGATTGATCCAAAAACTAAAGACTGCGAAGAGGAATGTGACTGCATTCCAGGCGATTCATCATCACCCAAAGGTGTAAAGGTATGTTTATAAAAATGATGGCCAAGCTTAATTCATTTCGAAAAGCTAGCTGATTTAACAAAACAAGCACAAATTCAATGTGAAACTTAGTTGCGAAATAAAGTCAGCATATTTAACAAGTATACCACGAGCTCGAGTCGTATATGAGCTGATAGCCAACGAGGTGCGTAGAACCAAGTCGGCTATCAGCCATATATGACGAGAGCGAGTGGCCTATAATTGTTTTATAATAGAGCCAAATATTGATTGTGTTTCTGGAGACAGCACTCTCCAGAATTCTGTCAATTTCTTTTTTATTAACCTCAGCAAATCTGTAAGCCGTTTTGCTTTTCTAAGGTTTTGCTACCCACCGTATACGAGCTGATATACGGTGGGTGGCTCGAGCAATCAGATTGCGGAATAGCTCATATATAGCGAATAGCTATATTATAAATTATATATCGGGTGTCCCAAAAAACGAGTAGTCTCCGAGATTTGTCAAAAATCAGCAAAAGATGGCCTGTTAAGTTTGTTTTAACAATACTGGTCCGTAACATGGTTTCTTAATTGTAACTCATATTAGTTTTTTAAAAAAATCGCTTTCAGTTACTTGTTCTTACTCGTCTGCAAATTCATGTCGCCTAGAGCTATTTAAAGCAGCAGATTTGGGAAGTTCCTTATGACCAACAACCTCAAAACTTGGGATAACTTCGGGAGGCGATTGTTAGGTCATGTCGAGATTTGGACGGCCACATTTGGGCGAATTAGAAATTACTCTTTTCTCTTCGTAGATGCCAGATGGTTCTTGCAACTGTGAAATGTGTCCTGATAATTCCGTGAAACGAAAAAGAAGTGGCAACAAACCAGGATGTCCATGTTTGTGCAAAGATAACACCGAAAAAGAAATGAATTTCGATGGCTCCTGCCCGGTAATTGAGCTAGAACAGCACAATGCTATAGTTGCGTTTTTTCAACGTTTATAAATGTCATATAATTTAAAAAACTAGTGAAGAGATCTGTAAGATCATTAGTACAAAACGTTGAAGTATATGGCCGTATTAGTTTGTTGGTGTCATTTCACTGCAGTTGTATGCATATGCATGATATATTATTATATTGCCGTAAAAACCTATGCATATCCGGACCGTCGTCTGTATATTCTGTATCTGGAGTTTGGACCAATATCTCGGATGTTCCATGCAGTTCAGCCGTATAATAAGCAGATTATTGATCTGGCTTATTTGGTCTGTAATGTGAAATATCAGACCTAGGTTTTTTGCATGAACCTCGCTCCTTCCATACCAAAAAGCTCAGTCCATACGAAAAGCCTCGGTCTGATCTTTCACAGTACAGACCTCACGCTCGGTCAATAATCATGCAGTTATTATTATCGGTCATGCGGTAACATGGGATACCTAGGATACATTGAGTGTTTGCTGTACGTATAATTATGTTGTTATGCAATTGAATTTCCGTGTGGAATCCGTGCTATATCGCGCTATATAATATAATACATATAAACTAGCTCT